ACATTGATAGGAGTATAAAATTGGCCCGCGGCCTGTGGGCAGCCCGAAGCCAGCCCGTTCATAATGTGAATATTCACATTGACATATTAACATTAACATTGATAAGAGTGTAAAATTAGCCCGTGACCCGTGGGCAGCCCGAAGCCCGGGCCCGGCTCATTGACAATGTGAATATTCACATTGACATGTTAACATTCACATTGATAGGAGTGTAAAATTAGCCTGCGGCCTGTGGCTGGCCCGAAACCCGCCTGCGGCTCGTGGGCTGCCCTGGGCGGCCCCGGCCCGACTCGTTGATAATGTGAATATTCACATTGACATATTAACATTCACATTGATAAGAGTGTAAGTGTAAAATTGGCCCATGACCCGTGGACAGCTCGAAGCCCGGCCCCGGGCCGGGGCGGGCTCGGCCCGTTGACAATGTGAATATTTACATTGACATGTTAACATTCACATTGATAAGAGTGTAAAATTGAACTCGCGTCCCATGGCGGCCCGAAGCCCTGTGGGCGCCCGGACGAGCCCGACCCGGCCCGTTGACAATGTGAATATTTCAATTGACATATTAACATTCACATTGATATGAGTGTAAAATTGGCCCGTGGCCCATGGCGGCCCGAAGCACGCTTGGCTGCCCAGGGCGGCCCGGCCGTTGACAACGTGAATATTCACATGACATGTTTAACATTCACATTAATAAGAGTGTAACAATAACCCGTGCCCCGTGGCTGTCCGAAACTCGCCACGGCCGTGAGCGGCCCGAGGCGGGCCCGGCCGGCCTGTTAACAATGTGAATATTCACATTGACATGTTAACATTCACATTGATAAAGTTGTAATATTGACATCGCGTTCCATGGGCGGCCCGGGGCGGCCCGGTTTGTGGTCGGCCTACCAGGCCGCGGCCTTGCGGGCAGCGGAACAAACTTTACAATCTTATCATGTTAATGTTAACATGTCAATGTGAATATTCACACTGCACGGGTCGGCCAAGCCTGCTCGGGCTGCGATCTGCTTCGAGCTAACCACGGGCTCGGGCCATTTTATACTCCTATCAATGTGAATGTTAACATGTCAATGTGAATATTCACATTGCCAACGGGCCGGGCCCGTCCCGGCCCGGTCGGGCTTCGGGCTGCCACGGGTCACGGTCAATTTACACTCTTATCAATGTGAATATTAACATGTCAATGTGAATCATATTCACATTGTCAACAGGCGGCTGGGCCCGCCTCGGGCCGTCCAGTGGCGGCGTTTTCGGGCAGCCACGGGGCGCGGGCTAATTTTAAACTCCTATCAATGTGAATGTTAACAAGTCAATGTGAATTCACATTGTCACGGGCGAGCCAACCCGCCTCGGGCTTGGTCGGAGCTTCGGGCTGCCCATGGGCTGCGAGCGAATTTTACACTCTATCAATGTGAATGTTAACATGTCAATGTGAATATTCACATTGTCAACGGGCCGGACCGGCCCGCCCAGGGCCGTTCATGGGCCGCAGGTAGGTTTCGCGCGCCGGGACGGCGGCCAATTTTACACTCTATTAATGTGAATGTTAACATGTCAATGTGAATATCACATTGTCAACGGGCCGGGCCGGCCGGCCGCCCTGGGCTGCTGGCCAATTTTATACTCTTATCAATGTGAATGTTAACATGTCAATTGGTGAATATTCACATTATCAACAGGCCGGCCGGGGCCTGCCGGCCGTGGCGGGTTTCGGCGCCACGAGGCGCGGCTAATTTTACATCCTATCAATGTGAATTGTAACATGTCTGTGAATTACACTTGTCAACGTTCGGGTCGCCTCTCCGGCGGCCAATTTTATACTCTTATCAATGTAAATGTTAACATGTCAATGTGAATATTCACATTGTCAATAGGCCAGACCGGGCCCGCCCCTGGCCGCCCATGGGCCGCGAGTTACTGCAATATCTTTCATCAAAAAGTTTTATCAACATTGTTCATTCCAATAAGTTACTGCAATATGCATATGAAAAACTAGTATACAATATCTTTCATGGCCAATCATATAGTCACACAAAGGGAGAGAGAGACTTCAGGATGATGAATAACTTATTCATTGGATGTATTTGGTATTTGGCCTTTTCTTAAGAGGGAGAGGGAGTACTCAGCAGCATCAATGAGATCTTCGATGTTGTGGAGGGATCGCTCCTTAGAAGCCAGCATGAAGATGGCACGAACCTCAGCTTTTTTGGCCAGTCTTGCTGCCAAGTTCAGCGGCAAATCAGGGGAGTTAAGCCCATTTTCAATATACATTTTCAAAGGATATGTTTTCTATGTATATCATATATGTGAGAGTGTACAAAAAGCTTGTGTTAGAGTGAAACTATCCATGTGTATTTGTTTTGCACACCATGTGTTTGTTTATTTTCCTTGTAGAAAGGAAAGGTAAATAGATAGTTGGTGGAAAACTGGGAGCACTGCCTCAATAAGCGTGCTTGCGCATTCATGTTCAAATTCTATTTGTGTAGATGTACTTGTTTATGTACTAGGTGAATTTGACAGTATTATGTTTGCAGGTGAATGACAACAACCATAATTCATTTCTGTATCAATTTCGTGGCTCTACTGCTCTATGGTATGTCTCAACTCCTGAGTTTTTCATCCTTGCAGTTCCATTGGTACTTGAAAATTAATCTATTTGACCTCTTTTGAGTTGTAGGGAACCAGCAACAATGTTAACTCTTGGCATTAATTTTGCATTGAGTGCAATAATATGAAACATTATTACTTCAATAAATTTCTAACAGCTCTTAGTTACCAAAGATGGTAGATATTTTGTTGAATATGGCCTTTTCCCAACTTTTTGAATAGGGCTAATTTGATTCCTGGGTCTGCGACTGTCTATATGTGCTGTTTCCCATGGACCCCAGCTATGTCAATGCCATTTTTACCCAAATTTCCAACCCAAATATTAGTATTTACAATGCGATCATCGGATGCTTTTCTTGTTTCAAGAACTACAACGATTTGTTAACTAAATTATTATTTTTTTGTTTTTTAATCATGAATTGCTTGCGAAAGGCATGGTTCCGGGTAGCCACACGTACACTTTTATTCTCAGGGCATGTGCACAATCAAGTGCATTGAGATAAATAAGGGCAGGAGGTTCATGTGCATGCAGTTAAGTTGGGTTGGCATCAGATTTGTATGTAATGAACACGAGATGAGGATGTATGTTGTTTGTGGGGTTATTGAAGCAGTCCAAAAATTGTTTGATGGAAGTTCTCATAGAGATTTGGTTTCATGGATGATGTTGATTTAGGGATATGTTATTTTATTCACATTTCATCTACCTTTTCTCTTTCCCCTTCCAAATTCTTTTCCAAAACCCCCAACCAAACACAGCGTAAATACCAAAAATACAAAAAAAGAAAAAAGAAAAAGAGAATTCAATATATTTTTTGTATTTATTATTTTTTAAAATATTTTTTTTACTTTTTAGATATAGCTAAGTAAGGGGCATCTAAAAAAAAGTAAAAAAATTGCTTAAAATTTAAAAAATATTCACTAAAAATAAAAAAATTGGAAAAAATAAAAAATTCAATTTTTAGAAAATTAAATCTAGAAAATTGAAACCAAACACAATGATTAGTATTAGGGAGGGTTTCATTTACGTCTTTTGTGGTATTTGACTTCAAGCCTGTAGGTTTGTTGTTCTTAGAGCTGTCGTAAGGAGTAGCATTTTTCACCCAACAATTCCTCCCTCACGATGATATGCTCCTGCAACTCTAACCCATGACATCTTGGTTCTGATACCCATTTCACCATTGAGACCTTGGAAAATGGCAAAAATCATTTTTAAAATAAGAGAAAAAAAAAAAAAGAAAGTTTAAGTGCTTACACAAGTCTCATGGTACAGTGAAGGTTTTGGTGATTTTGTGTCACAATTTGTTTATTTTAAAGCTAAAACTGTTAAATAAAGTTAAAAGAAAATAAAAACATGTTCAGTAAATGCATGATGCAAATACAGACTCATCTGAAGCTTGTAAAGAATTTAAGTTCATAATTGATGCCAAATATAAATTTCTGTGGATGGAATATAGCAGCAGCCATCTGCCTTAAATTATTTTTGCAATTGAAGTAGTCCTGTGGATCTAAATTGCAGTTGTTTCAATGTTTTACTTAATTGAAGTTTAGAATGAGAATATATAGAAATTTTCTTTTCTTAGCAAAATTAGAAGTTTGTAGACCAATGTACAACTGTCACACCTGCACCTAGAACTGCCCAAAGCATTAGTTACAGAAGCAACCAATGCTGCTCCAGAAATAGAAATTCGTTCTTTTATTTATTTATTTATTATTATTATTATTATCATTTTTTACTTTCGAGAATTACTTTGAGTGACATTGATTGTTATTTACAGGACAGGTAAAACAACTTAGTGAGCATGGATGGCTTGAAATCTATTAGTAAAGCAATACTGAGAACATTTTCTGTCAGTTTCAGATTATTCTTTTAACCTTAAATTTGTAAACTGTGACTCTATGGACATCCAATACTTGTTAGGTCCAGCAAGAGGTAAGCAAGAGAAATTGAGATCATAAATTCAGTCCCATTATTATGAAAGAATTATGTTATATTGATTTTATGTTGGTTGCATATTTCTTCATAAAACTAAAAGTTTACCTAATTGGATTGCATTTTCACTACAACATTTAAGAGTTTTAGAGACCAAATTTTTTGGTCTCTAAAAATGAAAATTTTGTTACAAAAGACATTTAGAGACCAATTTTTATTGTCGTGAGAATAGTCACTAAAAGGTCGTTCCGAAAAGTAAAAAATAAGGCTTTTAGCGATAAAATTTTGAAAATGTCACTAATAAATAGACTTTTAGGGATAAAATAATTTGGTCTAAAAATGGTTTATTTTTTAGACAAAAAATTTGGTCCCAAAATGATAATAATTCTTCACTAATGTGCAATTTTCATTACTAAAAATATAATAACGACAATTTTTGCAATAAAAATATTTGGTCCCTAACAAATAATTTTGTCCCTAAATTTTGGTCTTTAAAATCTTAATTTTTTGTAGTGTTTTGTGGAATTCTATTGTAATCTTGACTTAAAATTGTTTCTTGCAAAAAAAAAAAAAAAATTATGATTTTTCATGTGGCAACTGATGTCTAAGATGAAACTAATGTCTTGGGTTCTGACACTCCCAAGTCCCAACCTTTTAGAAGTACTTGTTCCGGGTTGATATGAAATGGGATGTGTTATATGGACTCAAATACAAGTGTTGAGTGTGAATATGTATTTAAGTGTCCAAGGATACAGAGACATAGCAAAGTGTTCATATTTTTTAATATAATTATTTTATTTTCTAGGATAAAACTCTGTTTATAATTATTAAATTCTGTTACTCCTTGGTCACTATGATCTCGAGACATCTTGGAGCAGGCAACCGGTGCAAGTGACGTTTAGTGCATTGCATTAATAATCTTCACCATTGTCTCTCTCAATTACCACTTCCCAAGTAGAGGGGTTTTTTTTATATTATTATTTTTATCATGTGAAATAACTAGTTTTCCTTTATCACTGTAAATTTTATCAATTAATTTTTTTTTTTTAGACATTATGAAAGTGGAAGAGGTCATGCTGCAAAATTTGAATGGGAAAGTTCAGTATTATTTAGTATTTTTCATTAGCTTAGCTCAAAATCACTTTCTTCATTATCATCCAAATGAATTAGAGATATAAGAGAAGTAATTTAATAGGATTCTCGTAGCCAAAACTAGAACCCTTGGCACAAAGTGTTTGAAATAACTACCTTTACATTGTTGTTTCAAATCTATAACGACAAAGCTCTCAAATTCAATTTATCAAAAAAAAAAAAAAAAAAAAAAGGCTCTCAGATTCAATCTTGATATTCATATCTAAACTATCAAATCTAAATTTAAGTTATTCTGTTTGAATGGAAGATGTCAAATTCTTTCATTTTACAACCATAAATTCAAAGACAACCTAAAATTGTAGTTCTAATGAAACATAACTTCAAAAAACTAAAAAAGATGAGAAGTAGCCTCTAAGTAACCAATTTGGTTGCTGCAATCTTGCCATCATTGCTATCAAATGAACAAACATTCATATATATATATGTGTGTGTGTGTGTGTGTGTGTGTGTATGGTTAAACCATTGTGTTGTGCACACAAATCCGGAGTGCTTTGTTTGCTTGCTAGTTGTATAACTTAAATAGAAGGGGCTTCATAGCTTGAATTGAATATGGAGTTACTATTGTCAACTGATGAAAAGAGAAACGGTTGGTAGGTTAATTAACAATCTAAATAATTTTGAACTCCTCTTTATGTTGATTGTTTTCTCCACAAAATCACTTTAGAGCTCGTCATAGTGGCTCAGTTCAGCCATTTTGTCCATTTTTGTGAACCCTTTTACCCTTTCAAATCCATATTAAAATGTTAAAATGCTTTTGGTTGCATATAATTTTTATCCAACCGCGGTACAAAAAAAAAAAAAAAAAAAAAGTTTTTGCGTTTGCTTTTTCCACTTCATACAATGGTATGTGTTAATTTGCATTTGCTGCTGAAATTATTTGAAAACTTGCGGGCAACTGAGTGAATTGGATATGTTTTAACATAGTTATTAGTTATCTTGTGTTAGTTCAAGCTGGCCTACCCCTTGTTATTTTGCATTTATTTTCACTTTTTATTCATTTCCTGTGAACATTTTCTTAATGTGTTTTTGACCAATGAAGTTTTGTGGTGAGCTTAGTAATGACCACAGCAGTAATTTAATCAAATCTCAAGTGACTAAGGATTATTGAGAACCATGTATCCTGCATTTCTTAACCTCCACAAGGGAAAATTCATGCATAGAATATCAATCAAAAGAGCATGAGAGAGAGAGAGAGAGACTTACCAGAAAAAAAAAAATTGTGAAAAACAGGGCATTTTGGCCATATGTGTAATCTGATATACAGAATGTAATAGTGAGCAGATTGTTTCTCTTTATCGCCAACTATTGCAGAGGCTTAACTCCCCTGATTTGCCGCTGAACTTGGCAGCAAGACTGGCCAAAAAAGATGAGGTTCGTGCCATCTTCATGCTGGCTTCTGAGGGGCGATCCCTCCACAACATCAACGATCTCATTGATGCTGCTGAGTACTCCCTCTCCCTCTTAAGAAAAGGCCAAATCCCCAAATACATCCAATGAATAAGTTATTCATCATCCTGAAGTCTCTCTCTCCCTTTGTGTGACTATGTGATTGGCCATGAAAGATATTCTAAACTAGTTATTACAGTAACTTATTGGAATGAACAATGTTGATAAAACTTTTTGATGATTCTGATTGAGAAATGAAAATTCCTAATCATTGTGTGCCATGCACCAAGATATGTTTTTACATTTTATTGAAGTTGACTTGTGATTAGCAGATAATGTAGATTTTGTTTGTGTTCTACGTTGTACCAATAGCTTTGGTCAAAATGTCTTCTTTTTTTGCTCTTGATTTTTTTTAGCAGATAATTCACCAAGCTGGCCCGCCACCCAAATTTTCAATTTACATTTTCAAAGAATATGTTTTCTATGTATATCATATATATGAAAGTCTACAAAAAGCTTGTGTTAGAGTGAAACTATCCATGTGTGTTTGTTTTGCACACCATGTGTTTGTTTATTTTCCTTGTAGAAAGAAAATGTAAATAGATAGTTGGTGGAAAACTGGAAGCACTGCCCCAATAAGCGTGCTTGCGCATCCATGTTCAAATTCTGTTTGTGTAGATGTACTTGTTTATGTACTATATGTGAATTTGACAGTATTATGTTTGCAGGTGAACGACAACAACCATAATTCATTTCTGTATCAATTTTGTGGCTCTACTGCTCTATGGTATGTCTCAACTCCTGAGTTTTTCATCCTTGCGGTTCCGTTGGTACTTGAAAATTAATCTATTTGACCTCTTTTGACTTGTAGGGAACCAGCAACAAGGTTAACTCTTGGCATTAATTTTGCATTGAGTGCAATAATATGAAACATTATTACTTCAATAAATTTCTAACAGCTCTTAGTTACCAAAGATGGTAGATATTTTGTTGAATATGGCCTTTTCCCAACTTTTTGAATAGGGCTTAATTTGATTCCTGGGTCTGCGACTGTCTATATGTGCTGTTTCCTATGGACCCCAGCTATGTCAATGCCATTTTTACCCAAATTTCCAACCCAAATATTAGTATTTACAATGTGATCATCTGATGCTTTTCTTGTTTCAAGAACTACAACGATTTGTTAACTAAATTATTATTTTTTTGTTTTTTAAACATGAATTGCTTGCGAAAGGCATGGTTTCGGGTAGCCACATGTACCCTTTTATTCTCAGGGCATGTGCACAATCAAGTGCATTGAGATAAATAAGGGCAGGAGGTTCATGTGCATGCAGTTAAGTTGGATTGGTATCGGATTTGTATGTAATGAACACGAGATGAGGATGTATGTTGTTTGTGGGGTTATTGAAGCAGTCCAAAAATCGTTTGATGGAAGTTCTCATAGAGATTTGGTTTCATGGACGATGTTGATTTAGGGATATGTTAAGATGGTTTTTGGAAAGAAGGTACACGGGTATTTTTCTAGACATGTGAAGTATATTTTGAAGCCCAATAAATGATGATGGTAATAGTTCTTTCTGCATTTGCTAATTTGGGAGATTTAAGTTTGGGTAGGAGGATACATGGGTATATGCGTGATCATAATGTGAATTTGTGTGTTTGTTGGGGATCTGTTGGTTGATATGTCCTTGAAATACGTCGATACAAATTTTGCTCTTGGAATTCTATGATACCAGGATTATGATCAAAGGAAATTCAAAGAAGCCTTAAATGTTTTTAGGAAGATGCAGAGTAGAGGTGTCAACCCAAATTTCAAATCATACCTATAAAGTAACGAGATGTACATTAGTGGCAGTGGACACGTATAAATTATTTTCTTAAATGGAACTGACTAGAGTAGCACTGTCAGACCGTGTTCCACCATCTATTCTAAAAACAATTGGTATTAGGGAGGGTTTCACTTACGTCTTTTGGGGCGTTTGACATCAGGCCTGTATAGGTTTGTTCTTAGAGCTGTCGTAAGGAGTAGCATTCTGCACCCAATGATTCCTCCCTCACGATGATATGCTCCTGCGATGATACCCATTTGTCAGATCACGTTTCACCATTGAGACCTTGGAAAATGGCAAAAATCATTTTTTAAATTAGAGAGGAAGAAAAAAAAAAAAAAAAAAAAAAAAAAAAGTTTAAGTGCTTACACAAGTCTCATAGTACAGTGAAGGTCTTGGTGATTTTGTGTCACAATTTGTTTATTTTAAAGCTAAAACTGTTAAATAAAATTCAAAGAAAATAAAAACATGTTCAGTAAATGCATGATGCAAATACAGACTCATCTGAAGCTTGTAAAGAATTTAAGTTCATAATTGATGCCAAATATAAATTTCTGTGGATGGAATATAACAGCAGCCATCTGCCTTAAATTATTTTTGCAATTGAAGTTGTCCTGTGGATCTAAATTGCAGTTGTTTGAATGTTTTACTAAATTGAAGTTTAGAATGAGAATATATAGAAATTTTCTTTTCTTAGCAAAATTAGAAGTTTGTAGACCAATGTACAACTGCCACACCTGCACCTAGAACTGCCCAAAGCATTAGTTACAGAAGCAACCATTGCTGCTCCAGAAATAGAAATTCGTTCTTTTATTTATTTATTATTATTATTATTATTATTATTATCACTTTTTACTTTTGAGAATTACTTTGAGTGACATTGATTGTTATTTACATCACAGGTAAAATAACTTAGTGAGCATGGATGGCTTGAAATCTATTAGTAAAGCAATACTGAGAACATTTTCTGTCAGTTTCAGATTATTCTTTTAACCTCAAATTTGTAAACTGTGACTCTATGGACATCCAATACTTGTTAGGTCCAGCGAGAGGTAAGCAAGAGAAATTGAGATCATAAATTCAGTCCCATTATTATGAAAGAATTATGCTATATTGATTTTGTGTTGATTGCATATTTCTTCATAAAACTAGAAGTTTAGCTAATTGGGTTACATTTTCACTACAACATATTAGAGTTTTAGAGACCAAATTTTTTGGTCTCTAAAAGTGAAAATTTTGTTGCAAAAGATATTTAGGGACCAATTTTTATCGTCGTGAGAATAGTTACTAAAAGATCGTCCCGAAAAGTCAAAAATAAGGTTTTTAGCGATAAATTTTGAAAATGTCACTAATAAATAGACTTTTAGGGACAAAATAATTTGGTCTAAAAATAGTTTATTTTTTTAGACAAAAAATTTAGTCCCAAAATGATAATAATTCATCACTAATGTGCAATTTTCATTACTAAAAATATAATGACGATACTTTTTGCAATAAAAATATTTGGTCCCTAACAAATAATTTTGTTCCTAAATTTTGGTTTTTTGTAGTGTTTTGTGGAATTCTATTGTAATCTTGACTTAAAATTGTTTCTTGAAAAAAAAAAAAATTTCTTATTTTTCATGTGGCAACTGATGTCTAAGATGAAACTAATGTCTTGGGTTCTGGCACTCTCAAGTCCCAACCTTTTAGAAGTACTTTTTCCGGGTTGATATGAAATGGGATATGTTATATGGACTCATACAATTGTTGAGTGCGGGTATGTATTTAAGTGTCCAAGGATACAGAGACATAGCGAAGTGTTCATATTTTTTAATATAATTATTTTATTTTCTAGTGTAAAACCGTGTTTATAAAGTGTCATAGACAGAGTATTTCATGCATAATATAGAGATTTATGCATACTTCTATCGTTAACTTGAATTACTAAATATGTTAGCTCGGTGAATGTCTAATTACACATATCTCATACTCTTATCTAGGTGTCGAGTGTCCAACATGGATACTGTACAATACACGTAACTCAGCCTCCTTTGTGCCAAAAACAAAAGTGGGAATTTAGTTAGTGATCTCTATTAGATTCCGAAAAAATAAAAAATAAAACAATCTATATAGATATGCTAAAAAAAATGTGAAGTAATCCTGTCCATACAATTCTTATGACTGTTTCTTTTGCTGTTGTTGTGCACCATAATTTTTGTTCAAACAAAGACAATAGAAAGACAGGAAGAGGAGGGAAGCACACAACTATAGCTCTTGCCTCCTATGAATGATCAAGTAGGATGCCTACATACAAAACTGATTTTAGAACATTATTAACTACTTTTCTGACTAGTCCCATCTGTCAAAGAAACGTATCAGTATGCAACTCCAACACCTTTGGAAACTTATTATTTTAATAATTTTGGACAACTGTATCAAATGAAACATCAATGAGAGAGAGAGAGAGCAACAACTAGATTAATTAAGAATAGATTGCTCAGACCAACAAACATGAAACATCTGTTAGATTAATTAACACGTATAGGTATTATCCATATGGTCAATTTTGAACAAACTACATTACTTTATTTTAGAGAGTGAGAGAGATTTTCACAAACATAGATTCCTTGCCTTGTTATCCAACCCTACCTTTAAAAAAATTCCCTTTGTTCAAACTAATTGTAAGACATGGAAATTCTGTTACTCCTTGGTCACTATGATCTCGAGACATCTTGGAGCAGGCAACCGATGCAAGTGACATTTAGTGCATTGCATTAATAATCTTCACCATCATCTCTCTCAATTACCTCTTCTCAAGTAGAGGGGTTTTTTTATATTATTATTTTTATCATGTGAAATAACTAGTTTTCCTTAATCACTGTAAATTTTATCAATTTAATTTTTTTTTTTTTGGACATTATGAAAGTGGAAGAGGTCATGCTGCAAAATTTGAATGGGAAAGTTCAGTATTATTTAGTATTTTTCATTAGCTTAGCTCAAAATCACTTTCTTCATTATCATCCAAATGAATTAGAGAAAAAAGAGAAGTAATTTAATAGGATTCTCACGGCCAAAACTAGAATCCTTGGCGCAAAGTGTTTGAAATAACTACTTTTACGTTGTTATTTCAAATTTATCATGACAAAGCTCTCAAATTCAATCTTGATATTCATATCTAAACTATCAAATCTAAATTTAAGTTATTCTGTTTGAATGGATAGTGTCAAATTCTTTCATTTTACATACATAAATTCAAAGACAACCTAAAATTGTAGTTCTAATGAAACATAACTTCAAAAAACTAAAAAAGATGAGAAGTAGCCTCTAAGTAACCAATTTGGTTGCTGCAATCTTGCCATCATTGCTATCAAATGAACAAACATTCATATATATATATATATATATGTATGTATATATGGTTAAACCATTGTGTTGTGCACACAAATCCAGAGTGCTTTGTTTGCTTGCTAGTTGTATAACTTAAATAGAAGGGGCTTCATAGCTTGAATTGAATAAGGAGTTACTATTGTTAACTGATGAAAAGAGAAACGGTTGGTAGGTTAATTAACAATCTAAATAAGTTTGAACTCCTCTTTATGTTGACTGTTTTCTCCACAAAATCACTTTAGAACTCGTCATAGTGGTTCAGTTCAGCCTTTTTGTCCATTTTGTGAATCCTTTTACCCTTTCAAATCCATATTGAAATGTTAAAATGCTTTTGGTTGTAGATAATTTTCATCCAACTGCGGTAAAAAAAAAAACAATGGTATGTGTTAATTTGCTGCTGAAATTATTTGAAAACTTGTGGGCGACTACGTGAATTGGATATGTTTTAACATAGTTACTAGTTATCTTGTGTTAGTTCAAGCTGGCCTACCCCTTGTTGTTTTGCATTTATTTTCACTTTTTATTCATTTCCTGTGAACATTTTCTTAATGTGTTTTTGACCAATGAAGTTTTGTAGTGAGCTTAGTAATGACCACAGCAGTAATTTAATCAAATCTCACGTGACTAGGGATTGTTGAGAACCATGTATCCTGCATTTCTCAACCTCCACAAGGGAAAATTCATGCATAGAATATCGGTCAAGAGAGAGAGAGAGAGAGAGAGAGAGAGAGAGAGAGTTACCAAAAAAAAATTTGTGAAAAACGGGGCATTTTGACCATATGTGTAATCTGATATACAGAATGTAATAGGAAATATATGAGTTTAATCCTTACTATTCCAGAGAGCAGTTGAAGCAATTCATACCCCCAGCCCAAGAGGGGGAAAAAAATAAATAAATAAAAATAAGTATAATTTACACAATTTAACAATTTTACATTAATCACACTTATATGTACACGTATCACTTATATGTCAATCTATTGTCCAAATGTCGAGCTATGTGTTCAATGTCACTTATTGGTCCACCTCACTACCATTAGTCGCCGTCACTGGCTAATAGCGATTTTCTGATGAATTTTCAACTAGTGATAAAAATGACTTTTCAACTAGTGTTCTTTATCACTAAAAAAAAAATTAAAACTTTGGATCAAATAAACACATAATACAAATGTGAACTTTTCACTAACGAAACCCTTTTGGAAATTTTTTTTTTTAAAAATATTATTTTAATATTTATTATCAATTAAATTACTGGTATTCCAAACATTTTCAGCAGCGGCACTATTTACCCCAATTTTAAATGAGATCCAATGTTAAAACATTTGGCAATTCTGGTGATTTTTCTTAGTAATTGGGATGAAAAACTTACTAAGTTGAGAATATGGAATTATAAGTTTGACAACGTACAACCTAAATCTAATACGGATATTAATTTAAAAAAATTAAGCACCAACTTGGGCATATTTAATGTTAATGTAAATTGTAAATTGTGTAAATTACCACACC